AGACTGCACACACACCCATACACATCCACACACATCCACACACACACATGCACACACATGCACATATATATAGATAGTATTCTAGACGGCAAGAATGATCATTTGGAGAAGCACTAATGCAAACAAACTGACCACTTAGATGATTTCTGTCCCTTGTCCATTTCTTCTCTCTTCCCGTTTATTTTTGCATTCACTGGCGAAGTATTATTTTTACAACTTAACTGTACAGTACAACACTATTACAATACCGCACAACCCAAACAATTTATTAATACTGTATTGTGCAATATTGATCGATATTGTTTAGTACAATTAATACTGCATATTATAAAATATATTTGATATAATTAATATTAAGTATACGTTATAATATACACTTTTATTGATTAAATCTTATACCATAGCAGATCTGCTATAGCATACTTGTGTCATCTAATTTATAACTCTCTTGCACGACATTCTTACGTCTTTTTCTCCTTTTGTTTTTTTTCTTATTTTTAATTCAATAGGCAAATGTAAAATGTAAAATTTATATGCTGAATAATGTTCTTCTCATAACCATATTTAATAAGTTATTTCTCGACTTAAATCCTGCAATCAATCAGTACTAACTCATCAGTATTTTTTCAAGTGGATATTAAAGAGTAAAAATTAGAGAGTAATTTGCTTATTGATCTCATTGAGCTATTTTTTCCGATCAGTCGGTATTATTTTTTTTAAGAAGATTATTTTTTGATTAATTGATATTAAAATTAATCGATCAATACTTTAATTGTCAATAAATTGTTTTTGAAAGATGATAATCTAAAAACAAAATAACTTTGTTCATAAAGTCTTCCATCATATTATAAAGTGTTCATTCTTAATCACGGAATATACCGTATAATTAGCGCATGCAATTTCATTTTATCGTTGAATCATTTTTTTTAACAACTATTAAATAGGATTATTTCATTGCATTCCGTCTTTACATCATTTGCTGCCTATCGAGACTGATCACGCATTTGAGAGAGCTTTTATTGGCTTGATTATAGTAGAAAGTAGCATTTGGCGTTATTCTTTTTCATTCTACACTTTCTTTTCTCATTTTTATAACTAAATTAAGACTTTTTAATATTTTTTCTTGAAGCATTGATTACTTTAAAAAATCTCGAAAATGATTTTTTGATACTATTTTTGATCACATAATAACAGCTGCACAATCTTTCACTTTTCATAATAAAAAAAATATTAAAAAACTCTTAGTTTAGTTATAAAAATGAAAAAAGAAAGTTATGAAAATGTTTACTTTTTTAATTTTTTTGATAGAGCTTTTAAATAATCAAAACTGCCATAGTCATTGACAAATTTGTTAGAAAATTTGGTTTTTATAAATTAATTCGTACAATATTGGGTTTGGACATTTTTTGAAAGAATATGAAAATTTAACAGTAAAAATCTTTTTCAATAATATTTCATAATTTTTTTGAGCTATTTGAATGTTGCGGATTCGCACTTATAATTTTTACAGGCTGTTTTGTTGAATTTCGTGGATATGAATAAAAATATGCAGAATGTGAGCCGTTTATTTATTCGTTACTACAGCTTGAAACCACCAGGTCGCAAGAATTGGCCTAAACCAATGATGCTTGGACCACAGACGGTTAAACATCCAAAATTTCCAGGATGGCCACTTTACGTTAGTTTTGCAATTTTTTCTTTAACAGAAACATATTTGATGGTTAGCTCTTCATGTGATATTACTTGAAATTTATGAGTAAAAAGTAGAAAATATATAATATTATAACTTTACATTTAACAGAAAAGTGTAGAAAATTGAAAAATTTTCTGAAATAGTAAAGTTAAGAATTTCTGGAAAATATAAAAAGTTATTACTTCAATAAGTCGTTAAATTTTTTGTGCTTATTTGATAATAATTTGATTCGATCAAGCTTCTAATAAAATTTTAGATTGGAGTAATTCTTTCATTTTAATGCATGTTTCTCTTGACAAATATCATTTCAGTATTTCCCAGCATCAGATAGCAGATATCAATGGTTTTTTGTTATATTGGCTTTTCAGTTGACGGGAATATCTTTACCTCTGCTTGGCATCTATAAAATGCTAAAAACAATGTACAGCTACTCTTTTATATTATTCGATCCAAGTTGGATTTATTTAAAAATGCTTAAATGATTTTTTTTGTTTCATCAAAATTATGATCATAAATAGTAGTTATTGTATTTATGCATAGCTAGATTATGAACGTGAGCTTTGAGCTTTTGAAGTGTTCATATAATTTTTTTGCAGGAATCAATAAAAATATGATGGTAATTCTCAGTTTCGATCGGTATTGATTCAGATCACTACGACCAATTTGCTGGTTCTTCAATTATTTTCTAGGATGTCATAGATGTATTGAAACTACTTCTCTGTAAAATTTGAGCGTTTTTTCGCATTAGAGAAGTATAGGTAAGTAAAGATGTTCTAAGCTGTAAAGGAATTTCGTTGTTTTTCAAAATTTACAAATCTGTAAATTCATTATTCATTGCTATACTATTAAGGTGTTATTATGAATAAATGTGAGTCAAAACTGTATCATAATAAAGCAAAAAAGTCATGTGCATACTTTTTAAATTGTTTTGCCTGTAATTCACTTCAGATATTTGCTAGATTGAATTAGCTATAACATTATAAGAATGTTCATTACTGCAGTTTTCATATGTATTACTAGTTTAAAGGAAAAATAAATGTATCAATATTATTGACCCTTACAAAATCAAAGCTAAAACTCATTACTCTGAAATAAGGCTAACTTATCGACATATTACACCATTTATAGATTCTACAGTGACAAGTATTACATTTTCCAGATAGAGCTTTTATCAGTTCAGTAAAATGTATTAATTTATAATCGAAAATGAGTAAAAACCATTATATATATATCAAGAGAAATTTAAGGCTAAACTAGTCCCACCTTGAGGGGGCATGTGCTTATTCTATTGTTGAGTGGGTAAAGTAACTGCTCCTCCCTTACTTCTGCTCCAGTCATCAAATGCTTGAAGGATGAGAAGATTTTCACTTGCAAGATGTACTCATTGGATATGGAAAGTTATCCAAATGACTCTTACAAAGTGATCGTTATGATAAGTGCGTAAATTAACTTTACTCTGGTAACGACTTTTCTTATTATTGCTATTAATATTATTATTATTTGATTGTGAACAGAATTATTTCTTCATTTGTAGTACTAAAATACAATCAGATCTGATCAGCGATAAGGGACATCAACTGTTTGACATCGATTTCCAATTCATGTTAATCTAATAATTTGCTGGACTAGTATATCTAGTTAATGATGTCACGATTGAAGCTATTTCTCATAATGCAAACTGCAACTTTTGGTAGGTTTCAAATTTTGAAGCATAATAATTAACATGTTTTCATAAAATATTGACTCCAAACTTAATTTTGTTTTGCATCTTTTTTTCTTGTATTATTCTCAATGTTGACATTTTTTAAAATTGATTTTGAGTAATAATTATGCAATTATAAAGTAACATCTTCTACTTATTGCATATCTTAAATTAAAAATGAATACAAAATTTGAGATTTAGAGGATTTGTAATAAAAAAAGCTGTGATCAAAAGAGTTAGAAATATAATTAATTACTATTTTATTTCTAAGAAATTAATGAAAAGAATTCCTTCATTGTTGATGTTCCAAAAGTGTCGAAAATGGATCTTGTAAAAATTCATAAGTGGAAAATGCATTATCGTTGATTTATTTCAAACTGTGCTTTATAAAAATTTGCATTTTAATCGAAAATGTGTATTTATGAAATAGAAATTTATATGATTAGATTGGCAAGTAATCGTTAATTTTTGAAAGCTTTTGCAAAATCATCTTGTGAGAATTCTCTAAATTTTATGCAATGAGATTGATGATCAGTATAATGGGAAATGCATATAGGCATTTTTGATAATTATATTATGCTTCAATTTTAGCAATTTTCTGTTCTTTCGTTGATATTCAAAGCATAAGTGAACAACTTCATATTAATATTTGAATTCTGATATGTAACAATGAATAAATTGGACTTTTTCGGAATAATTTTGAAGATGATAGTTTTGCTTCATTGCAAAAGCTTGTCTACATTAATTGAAATCATTTTGAAAGACTGTTTTCGGATGAAATGAAAAGTATAAAATAATTTATAAGTAGGAATGAATAAATATTTTCGATTACATTTCTTGTTTGAAATGAAACATTGCAAGACTAGAAAATATTTCAAACATTTATTATTAATGGATGCATGTACTCTATATTTTCGAAATAAAATATTGCTGTAATTTTTAAACTCTCACTAAGTATTTTTTTCATTGTAATTAGAAAGTATAATTTCAAGTATAGTTTTAAGTTTTTAAGTTTAGAAAATATTAATTGCAATTTCATAGCTGTTACATTGTTCACTTTGGTGCAAATTTATTAGTGAAGTAAGCAATATTAGGTAATAATTAATGTTTTATTCAATCAAGCAGTAATTAATCGCCATGTTTATGTGCTATATTTGCATGTAACTAACAATTTTATCAAGTTTGACTGATTGTAATAAATTCGATAAACTTCCAACAATTGATGGTGATTACAGAAAACTTGTAAGCTTTTTCTGCTTTACTCATATTTGATTATATGCTATATGATCTGAATGGTAACTTAATATTTCAAAATTTGTAATTTAAAAAATTTTTGAAACTGAATTTGTTGTAATGCGAGTGAATTATTTTTTAGCTACGTAAATTTTTTTCTCTTGAAAATAAAAATGTAAAATTCAAATGAAATCTCAAAGTAAATTATAACAGAATATGGTTATGTGATGTGCAATTCATAATGTTATAACCTCTTCATGACTATATGACATTGAAATACCTAAAAGCAGTTTAAAAATTTTTGTTATTCTTATTAGTATTTTCAGTTTGATTTTGATGCACTTCTGAAGGAATATATAACTATAATAATGAATAAATAATCACAAATGGAGTAAAATAAATAAAAAACAACAGAAATGATAGATGTTCTTTATTTGCAAACATATTTCAGAATTTTTTCAATTAATTTTTAAAGTATTGCTTGCTCGTTCACAGTATGAAAGAAGTTACGATGCAGAGCAGTGTGAGAAAACTATTTGAAAGGTATTGTAAAGAGAATTCTAAAATAAATTAGTTTGTTAAATAAAAATTAGTAAAATAGAGAATGAATTCATTTCAATGAAAATAATTTTAAACGTATAAAACGCGTTTTCTTCATGTAATTGCAATTGTTTTAGGATTCATTCGAAAATTGCAAATAGTTCAATACAGATTATAGATAGAAAACAACCATAATACATGTTTACATACAATTATATTTTATTTTCATCACAAGAAAATCAAATTTATCTATTTTTAATTTCTGTTTTTGATTGCTTATGCAAATTATAGCAAAATGCTTGTTAAGATTAAGATTGGAATACTACTTGTCTCAATTTTACCTCTTTACAGATATCCAATTTCAGGCTGGATTAGCAGAAATAATGCAAATAATATAAACTTTCATACTTTCTTGTATGATTATTTTCTTGAAATCAAAACATGAAGCTTTCTTTCCACAAATTAAATCTTTACAAGTTGCTCATATTATTTAATTATTCTTTAATTTCAATTTTTTAACAAAAATTTCTTTGTAAACAAATTTATATCATTAACATTATTTAAAAAAAAAAGATTTAGAAAATTTTCAGCCTTAAATGAATTTTAGGAACAAAAAATCAAACATCACGATAATAGTAAATTTATAATTAAATTTTGTCATCTTTTTAAGAGCAATTAGATAATGAGAATGGGTAGAAATTGTAGTACTATAAGTTTGATTATGTCGAGTATAAATTAAAGTAATACGAAAATTACTTTTACTTTATGTTCAGAAAAAAATGCGCGAAATTGAAAAGTTGTCTTTTCGTTCACATTTTGTAGTCTCATTGCAAAATAAAAATTTCAAAGTGATTTGTCATAATTTCATTTTATCGAAAACGTAAAACAAACGTATATGCAAAATCAGTGCTAATAATTGTGTTAATGGAGTGAAAAAAATTGCAATTTATTTATTAAAAACTTTATTTTTTTAAGTGAAAATATCGCTTGATAAATGAATTGTTCACTTGTATTGTTTTATCTTTCTTGAAATCTGAGCATTATCTTGAATTAATAAATTATTAATTGAGCTGCTTTTCACACCAGCTAATTATCTAGACATGTGTAGTTGTATAATTTATTCTAAATGAATGACTGGTCATTGGTTTTGTCCTTGCAATTAGTGAAATAAAAATGAACACTTGTAAGAAAATTGCTCATTTTCATGGGTAGTTTTGTAGAATGCCTATGAAATAAAATGCAGTGCTCTATCAAAGATCATTGCAAGCTATTACTAATTTAGAAAAAGAAATTTTGTGGAATTTGTAAATGCTTGATTTGAGCATTAGCTCATGATAATTCAAAAGTTTTCATTCTGATCTGAATGCAACTTTCAGTGCTCAAATATACCATCAGAGTGATATTTTGCATTAAGCTATCATAATTTTGAACAAATTTTAACATTTTGCATTTAATTATTCTTCATTATTTCAACAGGAATTCAAAAATATAACTTTTAATAAAATGCGTACTTTTCTAAAGCATAAATTTTTTTAAATGACTTCTATGAAAGCTATATTATTGTAACGTACAAAAATGTTACAATTTGTGACTACAAACAAATGCTAATTTTTTTTTCTGTAAAAAAAGACTATAAAATGGTTTAGCATTTGAAAATTTGTTTGAAATAGAAATGAAATAAAGCAAAATATAAAGAATGAAAATTACTTTCTGTGCAGTTATTTGCTTTATTAAAGACTTCTTTTATTTTCAAATTTAATGTAAAAATAAATAAAAAGTATTGCATCAAATTCTTTAAAAAATGAAAGCTTTCATTTTCAGACAGAAACTAATCAAATAAACATTTCATGCAAGAGCAATAAGTTTGACTATTAATTTTTTGTAAATATATATTCAATTTCAAACTAATCCCGCACTGAATACAGTTTTTAAATTTGAAATATAGAGATTGAAAATTAAATCTATGGGATAGATTGAAGAAAACAATAAATAAATAAATAAATTAAT